CAGGTAAAAACCTGAATTTCTCTTCAGTAAGAGGCTGTTTGTTTAATTCCTTATTTTATTTACCAAACTACAGGTTTTTGGCCATTGCATTCATTATAAAAAAATAAGTTTTAAACAGCTTGGTTTCAGTTTGAAAAACAAAATACATCTACTGCCCTCTAGTGGTGATATAGAGTCATTACAACTAAAAACCTTTCCTAACTCATCAACGAATCACAAAATGATTGTGTCTATGTGATGTGAAAGAGTTTGATAGGAAATGCAAAGATTAATGCGCATGCATGTATAGATGACATCAGAGAAGTAGAAACAGAAATAAACAGGTGCTCCTTAGAGAGAAAGAGCCTGGATAATTTAATAATTTCCCTCTGGGATTATTAAAGTGTTTCTGATTCTGATTCTGATTCTGGATGGTCAGTAAACGTAAACTCTGATTGTAGACTTTCGCTGGTGATCTCATTAAATTAACAGAAAATTAGTGTTCACATGTTTTTTCCTCTTAGATAAACAGTTGAGTTTATTGGTTCCATCTCAAGAGTCACTTTCCAGAAACTGTGACCAGTCTGGAACTGGGATTACTGGGTTTACTGGGATTACTGGGATTACTGGGTTTGTGGGCTGGACTGACACCGTTGGGCCTTCATTGTGATCTGTTTGCAAATTTTTCTCATCTTAACCCTTTCAAGCCTGATCCAAGAATAAAACAAAACAGAAAACTACTTTTTTTTTGTTTGAATTCCTTATTTGGCCTTATATCAAAATATGTTAACAAAAAAACAAAAATACATTTTTAATATTAATAATTTATTACTATGCGATAAATCAAGATTATTTTTTGTGTGGTCTTCTGCCCCCTGTTATCAGGTGTATCTGATTGTGTACAATAGGATTTTGTGCAAAGTTTTTACCATTAAATTATGCAAAAGGTGTCAGACGCGAAACATTTCAGAAACCGTATGAATCAGATATGATACGTTTGGCATTACAGGGTTAAATGTGGTAATAAGGAAAATGTCTCTGAACTCTCTATCATTTCATTTTTAAAGCAAATGAAATAAAATAAGTGAAACAGTGGACCTGTGTGCTCGGCTCCACACTCACGATCTCAACCAGGAAAGTTTATTTTCACTGAGGTTGTCATTACACACAGTAGGATACAACAGGCTTCACAACAAGGTGCATAAAACATACATAAAGACTCACTCTCCATGAAGTGATATTGTGCATTTTATTGCATTTACAGCTGCAACGTTCCAATCTTTTGCACTACTTTAACCCGATTATTGCTCTCCCTTCTACAGACTCCTCTACATGCAGCTTGGAAAGACAAAAACAAAACAAAAACAAGTTCCCTGCTGTCATTACAGGCTGCAAACCATGTTGTTGAATGGCTTAAATGTTGTATCCCCGAGCTTGCTTGAACAATAGAGAGATGTGGTGTGAATAATTTACTGAACTTTATCAATAAATGATGGTCAAAGACTGACAGAAGAAGAAGTGGGAGGTGACGGTGAGTCTTCGGGAGTTTGTGTTTGCTTTCAGGAGGGTGTGCTGAGGTACATCTGCAGAGCGGGGGTGAAGATTAAAACGGTTCCCAGTATGGACACGGTGAGGAACGCCCACAGGAAAATCCTGTCCAACACCTGAGCCACAAACTTCCAGTCCTGCACAACCTGATGAGACACACAAAGAGACAATACAGTTCACAAATGGGATTCTTTTCTAAACCTCAAGCA